TTCTTGAAAAATCATATAAAAGCTCAATAATATTCTCGATTTAATTCTTCATAATCATACATCGATTTATTTTCGATTTTCTCCACATTGCCATATATTTAAAATTTTCAGGGTATTACAGCCGGCATGGGGTCTGGGGGTTATTGGACATTCACTAGTGAATATTATATATACAAGTTATGATTTGAGACATTGCACGACATGCTAGGTTTCAGAAAACCTATGTTGATCATGATATATGTGTTTTCATAAAATCTGGAGGTTAGTATGTTGATAATTATTTTATTATATATATATCAACTTGGTCCACTCACATTTGTTTTACGCCCTCTTCAGGACCTTATAACGAGGAATATGATCTGAGCTACGAGGAATTTCCCTACCAATGATTTCGTGCTATATCTTCTCTACTTCGGCACCTATTGTAATAGCACTTCTCTATCTTAAATTCCACTTATACTCTGTATTAGACATATGCTCTGAATATTATGTGTTATCATAATTTTATTAATTAGTTGTTGAACTTTAGTATTGTATTATTAATCCATATTGCCTGTTTTAGCATATTTCTCAGTAATTGCTTAAATTAAATTACTTTCGTCACCCTTCGGATGCCAGCTAGCACGTGACCATCCCGATGTCCCGAGGACATTGGGGTCCGGGTGTGTCAAGTCTTGTGCAATAGCAACGAGATGTGAGTAACTGGTAGATCAATAAGACACAACCAAACCGCCAACCACTCACATTTAGCAACAATTATGCAAGATTTTTTCTGCATAACTGATCACATTGGTGACACTCTTTAATTCAGGTGGATCCTACATGCAATAGTAAATGCTGCGTAGCCCACCTCTATATTTGGAAGAGTGGCAACAATGCCGTAAATTTTGTGTGTTTAAGTTGTGCGATTGTTCTGCCATTTAGTATTACGGTCTAGTGGTATTCCTCTTCACTTGTAAGTGAGAGGTCTTAGGTTCGATTTTCGCCAAATGCGAGTTTGAACCACATTATTGTTTAGCTCATTGTAAAGCTAAGCTCACCCCTTCCCCTTAGTGCAGATAATATCGTTTGTTCTAAAAAAAATAGTGTGATTGTTCTAGCATTGCTTTTAAGTATGATTAATGACCCGAATTTCGTAATTAATTACTGATATCAAAATGATTAGTGACCCGAATTTCGTAATTAATTATTGATATCAAAACCGATATCTTAAGCTAGTGATAAAGTAATTTGGTTGGAATAGTTTGAATGCAAAGAGAGGGGAAATGCACTGCACGGAAGGGAGAGAATTTTTAGTGTGAAGGGAACACAGCGTAGTATATTAAATGTTATAATATTAATAGTTGAATACTTAAATAATTTTTTTAACCACTTGTACCATGTCATTTGATGAACTCAACCATGTTTTTAGCACAGTGAAAATTTTCTCGAAGGGAGGGGAGAGGAGTCTGTCTCCCATGCGACAAAGAAAAGGACCGTAATTTTGAATCTCACTCGTTCACTTTTGGACCCAGTCCTCGCCTTTCCTCTCGAATCAATCAAAATCAAACCACAAAAGGAAGCAAAAGTTAAAGCAAACACCACATTTTTAAGCTCCTTCGTTTTCACTTTTGCATATTCACAGCACTTTCTCTTTTTTTTCCTTTTCTTTTCTAAATCTTTTTTTTTTTTTTAAATTTACGTTTGGTGGGTTATGCTTTATGTTATATCTTCCTTTTTTTTTGGGAGAAAATACGCATTAAATGAAGGGATTCGATTGGAAGCCTAGATATCAGGTGGCGGGGAACGAGATATTTTTTAATATGACCAGCAGACGAGGTGATACACCTCATGTCACTATACAAATAATGAGATATGTGTGTTAAAAAACTAATAACTTAAAAAATAAAAATTCTCATCACTTACATAAAAACATGTGATGATGTACCATTCGTGTTCTCGTCACAATTAAAATTTCTCACGGTGAACGCCCTTAAACAAGCTCACGCCCCGTGCATTCAACATCTTTCTTTTCAAAGATAAATTTAAAAAAAAAAAGAAATGGGAGCCTTATCAGCACAAACACTATTCAAGGTTCTTACTTTTAGTGGAAGAGAATTGCTTTACGTGGGAAACACAAACAACAAAAGCCACTTGAAGAAGGCCTAACTATTAGAAAGCAGAGAGATGAATGATGAGTGAGTCACGCAAGTTACAAGCTCCACTCCACTCCACTCCAATCAGTCTCATGTGGGGTCACGTAACGAGAGAGATATTCACATCTTCACGTGAGTGCATATTTCGAGTGACATCAATATATATCATGCGAGGGGGACCAAGACTTCAATAGAGCTATCTGACTAGGCTAACTCTCACATCGGATGGTACTAGATTATATATACTTGGTTTTTTCAATACAAAAGTGAAATCCACTCCATTAACTTGTCTCCAAAACATTTTAAGCAAACATAATCGAGATACATTCAAAAGTTCTTATCTTTCTCAAGATTCTTGAACGTGTATATTTGGTTTGAGATAAGCTTTGGCTTCTTTCCATGCCCATGAACAACCCTACAGTGAGTCTGCAACAATGCTCGGAACTTGGAAATCGATCAAACTAGTGAGCTTAAGCTTATCTTTCTCCTAAAAAATCTAGTAACTAATCACTCCACAAGTCCTAATTCCTACCGGGCAGGGAAAACGATAATTAACTGAAGGATAAAAAAAAATGCAGAATGCAGATATATAATTAACTTATTGTACATGCCTCCTGCTCGAGTTCTGATGCTTCAAAACTCCGCACGTCTAGGCTCGTGTAGGTGGTTGTCTAGTCTTCACTGCTCTCCTGTATACACAAAAAAGAAAGCACTAAAAATATGAGAGGCGAACAATTCGGGGGCTCCATGGTCTTCTATCATACTTAAGATTACAATTAATATCCTGATTAATCTTGAATTCTTACGGGAAAAAAGAGCGGATGAACACTTTTAAATAGATTAACAAAATTAGTAAAAGAAAAAGGAGAAGCTAGTTCTTTATGTTCTCTCCCACAACAAAAGTTGTCTTCTTCTTTCTCCAAGGCCTTTATGTGTTGCTTATAAAAATAAGAGAAAGCTTGGTATATAAAGAAGCTTTTGATAAAGAGGGAGACAATCATCAATTTCCATATATAATCTGAAATATAAGTTCCTTCTATTTAGAATATATAATAAATTTATCGATTTCTTTTGCTTAGTGTTGATATCAAAGCCGGTTAATAAAGTTCACCGTCACGTCTCATATGAAACGTAATTTATGGAAACAATATATTCTCTTTCCAATTGATGTGATCTGGCTTTTCCTATATTGGTTTTCTTTCTTTAGGATCTTTGTCTACTGAAGGACTTACCTACACCCCAGGATGCCATTTTAGTTTCCCGGACCAATGATACAATGCCATGAGTTTTAAATCCCCCACACAGCATTGTATTATTGATCTGGGACGCTAGTGGCATCCCGGGGTATAGGGAAGTCTCTCTCCTCAGTCTCAGTATGCATGTCCCCTTCCCTCATATTTAAGCATGCAGCAGACATTATTGTGCGAGAGAGAAATATACTAGTACAAATTGATGAAGGAAAATGAAAGTACCTGTTATGAATGGGATCAGGTCCATTTGGCACTCTTCTTTTGCTCACGTAGATAAAGGTGGAGTCCCAGACAACAGTATGCTTCTCTCTTCCAATCAACTTCCAATGCTTGAAGATTTTAGTGGATGAAACTGTAACGGTTGGTTTTTTTTCGGCACCGCGGTTTACAAGTATTCCAGCAAGGAAAAACCAGAAGACAACCAGCATCAGAAGAGCTCCAAACAGAGCTCTTAAAACCTTCCTGCGACTCTCCATGTATATGTCTCCCCTTAGCCCCCTCCGACTTTAAGTTTTACCTACTGGCTTTCCGACCACGCCTGATGGCCAGTCATTTCAAACCAAGATAAAGACTGTACCCAAAAGACCAATGCTTGTGGCGAGAGGACAAGGATGAACTCTCAGACAAGCAAGCACAAATGGAAACACAGAGAGAGAGAGAGAGAGAGAGAGAGAGAGCAAAAAGGAGAACAGAATAGAACAAATGATTAGGTTGTAACTTGGCGGGTAGAGTTGTTGGTTCTATTTAAAGGCTCATACAAGAAGGTGCTGTATGAGATCTGTATCTGTGAGTGTGAGTGAAGAGAGAGAGAGAGAGAGAGAATAAGCGGAGAATAATAAACAGAAAAGTTCGTTATTCTAACCCTTTTCTGTGTTGAATGGGTCCATTTGAACTCTCTTTCTCTGCTTTAGTTTGTGTTTTGCAGCTAATAGGGGACCTCACTGTCCTCCTAATCCTTACGTACTCCCAAGTTTCTAAAAGACATAGAGCCTAGAGCTACCCCATTATATACAATCGGGACTGAGGAAGTTGGAACCCCCTACTTACTGGTTTGCTTGTTCCCCTCTACCGGAAAAATCTTGGATCCGATTGCTGGACCACGTAACCTGTCCAACCCTCCCAACAACAGAGTCGGGTCCCCCTGTATTTGGTCCCACCCAACCACACGCTGGTCCTACAGTTTGAGTCAGCTACCCTATATGGTAGCTGCACACAAACTCCTCCATCCCCACCTATGATGAATACTTGGCTCCAGAGTACAAGCTGACTTCTTAACTGAATTAAACTAATCTCACATTATATAAACGGCCTCACCCACATTCTTCACCCAAACAACAGAAACCAAATGATATCAATGATAATAATATTAATAAACAGAAAGGTGTCAGGCTAAAACTTTGGCTACGGTTGAGAGTTTTCTTGCTTAGTAAGGATCTCGACATATGATTGTCTGTAATAAAGTAATAATTAATAATAAAAAGAAAGTTCATATGCTACTTTTCATTCAAACAAAACAATACCAAATAGTCACCTAGGCATAATTTTCCAAATATGCCCTCAAAATGAGGAGAAATTTCCAAACAGAATTTAAAAGTCCCACTAAAAAGAGGGTAAATGCTTTAGAACTATGAATTAAGCTATCAATTATGTAATTACTTTGATGCAATCAATTCATTACAGGACCATAAGGTTTTTCTGTCCCCTAGTCAGTTGCAACACTACTCAACATCAGTCAGTCACATGAATATATGATATACAATGTATCACAAAAGCTTACTCTACCTACTCCTCAAGCGTCTTCAAGTAAGGATGATCTCGTAACAGACTGAACTAGTTTTATTCACATGCATGCGGATGTGCAAAATTTAAAAGCCTGTAGAGTAACAAGAGTTGAATAAAGATATGTGAGCACATAATTACTCTACTAAATTCAGTAATACATAACAAAGATACAAACTGGAGAAGCAAACACACAAGTAAATTTCCAAAATCTACTTTCTTATTAATCATAACATGAGAAGGGTATAATAGGGAATTTCCCATCAGACTCATCAATGTCAGCAACAACCCTAGCATTTTAAGAATACAACCTGAGAGTGACAGTTAATTGAGGAATCAGAAACATTGAAACCTGAAAAAAAACTAGTGGTGTTTTACGAAATCTGACGATGATACCACATGATTGAACTTTATCCATGGTCACTACTTACAGAAACTGATGTGTACAAAAGCTCGCCCGAGAGACGATTATTAAGTGACAGATAAAGAAATGCTACCAGAAAGGTACCTATCCAATATTATTTAAATACTGAACTTGACTTGAATTTGAGATATTTGTCTATCCAATTCTGCAAATATATCCAGTCAGAAAATGTTAGTTCTTTGTGATGCACAGTATCCATGTGAGTGTGAGTGAACTAATCAATCTGACATACATATGAGATTAACACGTCACAATAAATCCAACCCTCCTCATCCCACAATGAAGGCATGAACCTAGTTCAAAGTTAGTATTCTGTCCAAAACAAGTGTACCCTGCATGTCTGATATAATGCCTTATTGAATCTACTAGTTTTCCCCCACTCCATATGCAACTTCTTTGTGCTTTCAGAGAAACAGAAAATCAAACTTGCAATTACGAAACTCAAAGTATTTATTAAGGGCCACCGTTTGTCATTTGATCAAAATTCACCTCTCTTTATGAAATTTGTACTTTTAGATACTGCCACCTCTATTAGGTGAACATATAATGTGCTTTCAAGGGCCCAGTAAAACCAAGAGATTCAGTCAAAAGTATTTGCTTCACCTTAGATCTTAGAAGCATAAATCACTTAGTGGGGTCAACCAATTTTATACTAAGATGCAATGCGCTCTTCTAGACCTCCATTGCCGCCCTTGAATGGAGTAAGACCACACACCAATATGAATAAAATAATGCCAACATCATATCAGCAAGGATTCAAAAGAAAATAAAGGATACCAATTTTTAAGGAAATTCTAAAGGAAATGTTTTGCTACAAATCAACAAGACAATAGTATAAGTAGATAGGCTATGTAGAACATAAATACATACATCTTGCATTCAAAATTTAAAAGGAAACAACTTTTTATATAGTTATAAAATAAGTTTATAACTTTAGCATTGGAAGATCAAGAGATAGACCATGTAGCACATATATATCTTGTATTCATAAGAAAAGAATTCACATATATAGCAGGTATTGATATCGAGCAATTTTGGTGTCATTATTTGAAGCAAAACCAAATGATAAGTTGGCTATAAGACCTAATAATTTGAGCAACTCAGATATGGGAGAAGATAAATACTTAGGAATACACCTAAACAGTTAACTTTCCAATGAAAGAAATATATACAAAAAATTAGTTTCAGATTTCTTACTTTCTTGACAAAACTCAGATTTAACATAAAAAAGTTTAACTCATTTTTAACATTAGTTGATCATCCAGGAAACTCTAATTTATCAGATAAGTCTTTAACCTGCAGCTGCAATATTTAGGTCCAACAATCAGAGAGATGTAACACTATGGACATATACATAATATGTTACACCTATGGGACCATGTCGAAAACACAACTCATATATACTGCCAATGAAACAACTAATATAGTTATGTGGTCACTGGTTAGGATAGCTATCATTATCTCACATTTCATAATGCTTTATCCATAGTAAAACTGCTGATAGTGTCCATTACCTTCACAAGGCATCCAAATGAATCCAGCATGTCAGTCCTTAGTGGGTACTCAACTACCTAGACCATGAATTTGGAAGATTAATGAAGAACTGGCAAAAACATAAGCAATAACAGAAATAGAAATCAGAACTTACTATGAAGGTATCTTCTCCAACTAGGTCCGAACTTGATATTTGATCCATCAGCACTGCATAGTCAACTTCCATATACGGAGGGGTAACACTAATGTAATCAAATGGTTCTTTACCTGCAGGAAATTGAATTTTATTGTAATGATTGGATATAAAAAGAAAATGAAATATGGTACATATGACTTAAGAAATATGACGATGACAAATATAAGATTATGACAATGTTTTTGCACCATGAAGTCTCTTCTAATCAGCACTCATCCTTTGTCTATGTTACAGAGAGAGAGAGAGAAAGAGAGTATTAGCACATACCTGCAAGTTTCTGTGCACGTTACATGAATTTTTCAACACGAACAGTATGTATAACTGACACATCAAGAAACCCAGTCCATTCCAAATTTGGACGTAAAACATCTGAAATGACCCATGGATCCATCTCAACAAAATGTACCTGGAATTGGTAATTGTGAAAGGTAGGAAATCCATAAAGATGTATGTTCCTTGACCCAAAGAGACGAGAGAAACATGCTACAATGTACAACAAAAACAGAAAAAAAATGCATTGTACAAAACTTTTCGTTGGAGATTCCACGTTAAAACCCAACTTCACTTAAAACTAGACGACTACTTTAGACTGTTGTAGGTTCAGCACTTCAGCTATGAGTTGAGAGCTAAAGTACATACGTAAAACTATTATACAAAATTCAAGATTTTTGTAGTAGAAAGAGATATGAACTAATTTATGAATGGTACCTCAGAGAGTACCCTCGGCTAAGAGCTTCAATTCCAACCGATCCAGTACCACTGTACAAGTCTAACCAACGGCCAGGCCTTAAAGATGCAGGACAACCCCCAGCAGCCTAAGATTTTTGGCACAAATATTAATTTACAAGCACAAATGTCAAATTTACAAGCACGTGTCGTAGACAAAAGACTTACTTACCTGCAGGATATCAAAGGCTGCACCTTTCTCGACCTCCATCAACGGGCGCACATCCATACCCTTTGGAGATAGCAACTTCATTCTCCGAGCCTTTCCTCCAAGAACCTACATTGGCTGCAACCTCATACTCGAGAAATCTTAATAAATCAGTATTTCACTATTTTCCAACTGACAAACATGTTATTGTATACCGCCATTTCGCTAATCAACAAGTAGCAGCTAAATGTGTTCTTAACTTGCATTAAAAACTAATAAGAAAAGACACAAAATTTGGAGATATTGTATACAGTAAGCAACTTATGGGTAGTTCGTGGGGCCTTGGGCTCCCTTGGTGTAATTTGCATGTCCCGTCCAGACTCTTTTAGCTTTTTCTTCCTCTTCCCCTAACGTTCCAATTTCCAAACGTAAATACACACACACACACACACACACATATATATATATATATATATATATATATATATATATATATATATATATATATATATATATATATATATATCACCAGTAATAATCAAACAGATTAACGGAAGAGAGAGAGGTACGTTTGGAAAGGGCTCAGGAGATAAGGCCTCGTCGGGGTTGAAACCGTACTGCTCCATCAACGGACGCACTCCACGATTCCTTCTCCGATTCTGCAGCCATTAACACAACTAAAAAGTTCAAATTTCTAAGAAAAAGGACGAAACTTTGATCAGATGAACTGTGTCGTACAAAAACGATGAGGTTTACCGGAAGCGTGGACGACGACGGGCGATTGTGGTCGATTGTTTGCAGAAATTGATGCGAGGAGGAGTGGTAGAAGGCCAGCCAAATTCCGTAGCTGTTACATTCATTCGGAATGGAGAGAGAATCGAAGGAGATGAAACCACCATTGCCGCTCTGCCTGAGCTCCACCTCAAGCTGCAGACCGTAGAGGGAGAGCTCCTCACTTCGTCTCTCAAGTTATCAGAAACAAGTATCCTTTTTTCTCTTGGGCTGAATACGAGCTGGGCCTACATGTGGGGTTATTGAGCTGGGCCTATAGTAACTCAACTACGTGTGTTTTTCTACACGTCGGTCGGAGATGACCTTATTGACAACAGTCGAACAATTTAAATTATTTAAATTTGTTTGATTCTTAAGCTTCAGACAGCGAAATCCGAAGATGATTTCTGTCCACTTATACTAAAAGAAGAACGTCGCCGAAATTATTTCTGAAACGACATGAAGCTGACACGTGCCACATCAAACATGCAATGCAAACACGGAGTCTAACCATGACGATCAGCTCGCCACGCGGCATCGTCTCAGCCGTCGATTACTAAGGTGGAAAGAGCGCGTCACAGAAACTGAACTATCCCACCAAACTACCCGTTGCCAAAATTAAAATCCAATTTATAATTAAAAATTAGTCACTTCTGCGTTCCACATAATTGACATTTCTCCGGGCGTCACAAAGACTCCAACTTTGCCCAGTTCCGAAGTCGCAAGCGAGCGAGAAGGAGGCCTCGAATCTTGATTAATTAATTGATTAATTAAGTATTTAATTAATTTAGTTTTGGGGAAATGGGAGCTTGTGCTTCGAGGCCGAAGGGCTGCAGTTTCGGATTCTCGAAGAAGAAAAAGAAGAATGGCGGCGGCCGCCGCCTGAGACGAGTCATTCGCCGGCGCGTTTCGTCGTCCTCCGGTCGCTCCGTTCCTGCACTCCAAGGTGTTTAATTTACTCTTTGATTGGTTTGGGTTTGCTTTTTATTTTATTTGTTTCTGTTTTGATTTAATTTAATCGGATGAGTTCTGACCAGCAGGAAGTATGGATGGGGCGTTTTTTGATGCAAATTCGGCGATCGAGTCGGAGCGAGATGACGATTTTTACAGTGTTTACGATGGTATTATCATTTCTCAATTTCAGTATTTTTTTTCATTTTTTTTTTCAAATAATTGTGTAGCGTTATGCCACCGAAGTTAAGCGAGTTTAGGCGAGAGCATTATTTAAGAAGTGGGTTGGTTTGATATAATATGCAGATGTGATGTCATTAAACGAGTCGGAAAGTGCATCCACGTTGAGTGTTTTGTCACCGAGAGGTCTTTCTCGGCAGGCACAGAAACCGCCGCCATTGCATTCCACCTCCGCTGTGTCTGCAGAGGAGATCGTGGACGAACATGGCGGAGGGGACAGAATGCAGGGACTGGATCACTGTGGGATTCTTCAAAATTCTTGCTTGCCTTGTCGTCCTTCCAATAGCCTGTCGGGCGACAAAAGAATAACCACGGCCACGCCAAGTTTGAGGAGGAAAGGCCTTTCGTTTAAATGGAGGGAAGGGCATTCTGCTGCAGCTGCAGTTGATCACACCCCCACATTACGTGAGTGTTGCCCGTGGACTTTCCCATTTGTTAGTATTATGATGCAGCTTAACAATGTGGACTGGCAGCTGATCTTAATCTTCCCTGTTTGTGTTAGTTTCACCGAGATCGCTTGCGAAAAGACCACTAGCCGGTTCTACAATTCCCTACTGTCCCATTGAGAAGAGAATGCCAGATTGTTGGTCACCTCTCGAGCCAAACACTTTCAAAGTCCGGGGTAAAAATTATCTTAGGTGAGAGCTTAGTACTTTCAATAGAATTGATCTTTTTCTCTATTTTCTCGGAATAATCTGTCTGATTTGTGTTTGTATCAACTCTTCATTTGCTTGATAGGGATAAGAAGAAAGAAATTGCTCCGAATTGCGCTGCATTTTATCCTTTTGCCGCTGATATTTTCGTATCTCCGAAAAAGATTGATCACATTGCTCGATTTGTGAAACTTCCGGTTGTGAGTACCACCGGAGATGTCCCTTCTATTCTTGTTGTAAATGTTCAGGTGCCTATTCCTTCACAAACTTATTTTCCTGAACTTTTTACGTCTTATTTCGTTTCCGTGCTAAACCTGTTTGTATGTTCATAATCTGTTTGTCCTCTATGTTTGGGAATAGTTTTTCTTCTTATGCTAAATGCTCTTTGTAATTTTTTCTCAAATTCTATGTGAATCTTCTATGCTACAGATACCACTTTATCCAGCCAATTTTTTCATAGGCGATGGTGATGGAGAAGGAATGAACTTGGTTATGTATTGTAAGATTTCTGAAACTTATTCGAAGGAGCTTCCTCCTCATTTCCGAGAAAGTATCACTGTAAGCTGCTTGAAACTCTAGCTGTGGCCGTTCCTGATTTTTAACACGTATAAATAAAGTTACGAAGTTTGGTTTTCTTGAAAATATGCTGCATCACATGGCAGACTCGTGACTCGCTCATTAGGTTGATTTAGTATGTATAACTAATTAATTATTGTGTCCTTGGTTAATTTCTTGACAGAGATTAATCAATGATGAAGTGGAGAGAGTTAGAGGATTCCCTGTCGATACAATTGCACCCTTCAGGGAAAGATTGAAAATTTTGGGCCGAGTGGCAAATTTGGAGGATCTTCATTTAAACACAGCCGAGAAGAAGCTAATGAATGCTTACAATGAAAAACCTGTTCTTTCACGTCCTCAACATGAATTTTACTTGGTAAGTTTTGGTTTCGATTCTCCACCTGCATAATTATCAGAAAATGCACCATATCCATTTAACCTTTCTTTCCCTCCAATCATACTCATACAGGGAGAAAACTACTTCGAGATCGATTTGGATATGCACAGATTCAGCTACATCCCTAGAAAAGGTATTGATGCATTTCACGAAAGAATGAAGCTGACGATATTGGATTTTGGTCTCACAATTCAGGTAAACAATATATTTCATAAATCTGAACTTGGCGTATTTACCTCATACTTAAGATCGACACCTAATCTGTGCTATGCATTGTGAATTTCAAATAGGGGAACAAAGCAGAAGAGTTGCCGGAGCATTTGTTATGCTGCATACGGTTCAACAAAGTTGACTACAATAATAAATCATTACCGGTGGTTCTGAATCAAAAGTTTCTGTAATCCCAACACAATACTCGAGTTTTTCAAATCGATAAATAACAGAAAAATAAGTTAACTAATACGAGAACATATGGAGTCTCAAAATCTTAGTATTGAGCTTCTTCAATTTGTATGTATATAGAATTTTGAATGTACAGTTTCAGCAGGAAGAGTGAAATAAAGAGAACAGAAAATTTTATTCATACTTCCGTGTCCAGTATGCTTCCGGTTTCTGTATGCAGCTTCTTGGCAGCAACGGGTTTGGCTATAAATCGAAGCAAGAGCCGGTATCTTCACCTCTCCTCCTCCTGCTGCGTCTACAGGTCTCATTCACTCCCCTCCATTTAAATCCACTGATTGTATCTTGAAGCTGCTTCTTTTATCTGTGTGCTGATGATCGATAATTTCATCTTTCCAGATGTTCATGGTAAGAAAGTAAGAAACATAGATTTCATTCAAATCTTCAGTCGTGAGGTACTTATGAAACGAAGATCCAACTACGCTGCAGGTGGCCTCATACATCGCCCAAAAACGGTACACAAAGAACATTTATGAACATTTTCTTCAGGCTTAGAACGTAAAGATGAATCTGGTGAGGAATGTGAATCAGCATCCTTTCTTTCTCGAAACCCTTCGTCTGGATTTGGATGTTCTTCCCCGTCAGTTTTGTTCATCGAAATAGTGACCTTCAGAGTAGGCTTTTTGTCGAGGACTTGAATCTTATCCTCCCAAATGAGGCCGGAGGAGCCCTGCCTTCGGAATGAAGTCGCCGATCTCTGCAACGCAGTCATTGATCGATACTTTCGGTCTCTGTCTCCGTCTTGCTTTGTTTCATCCGTCTTGTTTCGGTCCCCTTCCTTGACTGGGAGGAGGATGATATTAAAAGGCTTTCCTTTTTCTAACTAACAAACGGTTTCTTGTTTTGAGTTTGTGGCCACTTACCCGTAATTACAGCTGAGCGAGAGGAGTTTTCATTAAGTGACCTTGAAATATCAAATAGTGGTTTTTATGTGGTTATAGTATTCTAGATGCAATTACATTACTATGCTGCGTAAAACATTCAGCGTTTAAAATATTCGTATCGGTGTAAATATCGATATGCAAATTTACGAAAATATCGATTGATATATTGATATTGATATCGGTTGTTCTTGATAGAAATAATGGAAAATTGCTAAAAAAATATGGAAATTTCAAATAAAACTTTAGGAAATGTCAACACAGGTTTATACGAAATGCAAGAGTTTTTCCGATATTTAACTGATATGTCAAATATATTGATAAAATATGTCAATTTTAGCTAAAATTTAAGAGTTTCTCTGATATATGATGAAGTCTAAACTTCAACCCCTCCCCATATCTTTCTAGTATCAAAGAAATTTCAAACATTGTCCACATTCCAATATTACACAAGAACTTTTAACGAGTAACTAAAAAGTCCTTCATTTTACGACTATCATCTCTCCTAGGTTTTGGTAACTTGTTAGTTCACGTTATAATGAGTGGATGGCGAATTTATGCCTTAGGTTATAATATAACAATAATCCACCCATATTAAAACGTGATCATTTTCTAATACTATCTAATAATCTCTCGTCAAATATGGTTAATTGTAGAAAAATTACTTAAAAATGATGACAAGGGAAAGTAGTTTTTTCTCTCCCTCAACCTTAAATAATTTCATCTCGATTATTGTGGTCTGATCCTTGGTGGCAAGTGAAAAGTAATATAGATAATTTCATTACGTAATTATCGGAACATGTTAAAACTGAGACAAGAAATTAACTTCATTAATGCAGATGTAAGTTATTACCGGTGATAATAGTAGTATGTTCGCCCGTTGCATCCAAAGTTCGAATCCGCCTTTCTCTAAATTATCATAGTTTATAAGATATCGTCTTATAAAAAAAAAAGTTTAACTACTAATTAATAATCGAAAGAAGCATCCAAAAGTTGAGGAAAAGCTGCCTGCATCTCACTGTCTTGATCCAAGATAGTCTCCACAAACGAACTCATGGAAGACGAAGAAGCTTGCTGATCAAGCAAGCCATTGCTCCTCTGACCTCCGAAATCACATCCCTCAATTGCATCAGAGTTGCCTTGCACTCCAAGTTTAGGGTTTTCTAAAGCTGACATCACCACGTCATGCAAATCTTGTTCTTGCTTCAAATGATCAGCTGATGCAAAAGGATCAGCTGATGCAAAAGGATCATGGAGAAGAAACTCACTCCAGTTAAACGGAGAAGAAGACGGCGTAACCTGAGCCTCGTGTGATTCCCGGCACGCGTAAGTTGGTTGAGAAATTAATTGATGATCTGTGGCACGAGGAGAGGATGATGAGGAGCAAGAGGAGGTTACTTCATTTAAAAAGGCTGCTCAATTTGCACACTCTCTTGAAACCGATGAGCCAAAAAGCCAAGTGAAAGTGTGCTATCACAGGAATTGTGCTCTGATCCTTGTCCATTAATATTAGGGTTCATCATCACACGGGTATATGGGATTCCTGTGATGCCGGAAGAAGGCTCTGGTTCGGGTGCGAATGCCCTATTTGAGAACTTAAAGAAGTACGATAATTGATTTCCGGCAGCGGTTGGGAGGCCGCTGATGTTTCCGTAGTCGGAGAGGATCTGGGAGTAGGGTTTGTGGGTGACAGGGTCAATTCCCATTTTGGAAAGCTTCTTTTTGAGCTTGGTGTTCCAGTAGTTTTTGACGTCATTGTCTGTTCTTCCTGGTAGTTGCTTGGCAATGTGAGACCACCTGCATTGCATAAAACAAGTATTGCATGTGTTAGTAAACGCATAGGAAGTTAATAATGTGAATAATTCCAATATTTATTTGCTTGTAGATATGAAAAAGTCGGAAATCAGAATAATTTCGATTCTCATTTTAAGCAAGTAAACATGTCATCAGGCTTTAGAGTTAGAGTGAGTGTTTGAAATCCATTCAATAAGGCCAAATCAGATCTTTGAATCTTACTTTTCTCATGTTAATCTTGATTAATCTCTTGGCATTTTAATTTTATCTACTTAAAAGAGACATCTTTTGGTTAATTTTTCTAAGCAAATATGTGCACATAAAAGCAGTTACAAATTTTTCATAAAAAATTTAAAAGGATTGATATTAAATATACATTAAAGGGACACTAAACCTCAATTTATGTACGGCTTACTGTCTATCTGTGTCCATCAATTCGCTTTTTTGGCTAAAAGTTTGTAAACTGTTGTATTTGCTTGTGGTATTGACAACAACACTCATATGAAAAGGAGAAAAGTAAACAAAGAAATCAACTCCACCTGCTTCCGATGGCCTTGTGAAGGTTAATGATATGTTGTTCCTCTTGAGGAGTGAAGTTGTCATGCTTGAGGTCAGGCCTCAGGTAATTAGTCCACCGAAGCCTGCAACTCTTCCCACATCTGTTGAGTCCTGCAGACAAACCATGCAAACACATAATCTTTAAACATCGGACAAACTAACGAAATAGTTATCAAATAGGCACTTCGGTTAGCAATTAAATAAGTTAAGCATAAAACTGAACCTGCTTTTTTAGGAACCAATGTCCAATTTCCGACACCATATTTCGATACATATGCAAGAATTTTTGCATCCTCTGCGGCAGTCCAGAGGCCTCGTTTCACATTCGATTTATCGCAGCAAGGCGGCCTTCCCATAGAGAGAGAGAGAGAGAGAGAGAGAGAGAGAGAGAGAGAGGTGAAAGAGAATAATTATGTAATGGTGATGCAAGTTCTAAGCTTTGCAAGTGTTATTTAAAAAGAGGAAAGAAATTGGCAAAGAGAAGAGGGCAAGGAATGCATGCTAATAGGCTCTCAATTAACCAGAATTGCATGATCATTTTCATCTCTCGGAAAACTAACGGTTTAACATGACATCACAAACCTATGCTCTCTCTCTCTCTCTCTCTCTCTCTCTCTCTCTCTCTCTCTCTCTCTCTCTCTCTCTCTCTCTCAGCTGGCTCAAATTGGATGAATTATTTGGTTAAGGCACAAGCACAATAAATCCAAGGCCGCGTGGTAACAAAAATTAGGATTTTAAACCCTCGTGGTGTAGTCCATTAGCAAATTTAGTCATTTCAACACATTCATAGGATGTAAAGAGCTCGCGATGCTTCAACGAATAACCTTTCATATTTGTAATAGTAAACTGTGCAACAATGAACAATGTTTCTAAAATTTTGATCTGGGCACAGCAGCGCCAAACATATATCTCACTATGGCAGAGCTCAATGTTATATACAACTTAGCATTTAACCGTTCTGTGTAAATATTGACCTCCCTTAGGACGAACACGCCTTGCAACTCTTCCTACAGTATCCAAGAAGTCCCTCCGTGCCTATCATATAAGTTGGGTTCTTTTTGCATTCTCCCGCTTTAGCCCACACGGGGCAGTTATCATTTTCGTCTGAACAAACCCCGCCAGTTGCACGCTTTATTAGTGACTTCTCGAAGGATCTCACATGAATCCACTTGGTTGCAGACCATTTCTCACCCTCAATGACAGGGCAACTCCCGTGCAAGCTGCTTGGATCGGTTGTTGCATTGGGATGGAGACTGAAGAACAGCAAGGCGTCACCCTTGTGCGGTTTCACTGTAAGGATACATAGACATAGTAAATAAATGAATACAACACAAATATAACAGCAAATACGATTTGTCTCTATGAATTTCAAACTACAATTCACTACCCGCTCCCGCACTGTACACAGGACACACCCACTTGTGAATTAGTTAAAAGATAACTAAGCAGCAAGTTTCAAATACATTTAGTTTACGTGACCATATCATAACGTGATACCTGAATAGCCGTCTTTAGCACAATCAGACATGTCATCATCCTTAGGTTGAGACAGTTTTCCCTGTCAACACATAAGAAGACGAATGAAAATTCAATAGGTAAGGAAAAAAAAGAGGACGAGAATTCAGCCTTGCAAGTAACCAATTACCTCCGAATTGGGAAAGACTGTTTCCCCACCCTTTTCAACATTAGAGAGATACATCAATACAGTGGCAACACGGTGGCCACCCAATTCTTGGTTAGTCTTGTCTTGAAAATAATCGAAATGTGGTTCGTACTTTTGACCATGTTCATAATGCAGTATCTGAATGGACTCACCATTTTCTGATAAGAAAAGAAAAGGAAGTTCAATAAAGATGAAATAAGACTTCAATAAAGATGAAATAAGACACTTTCTCAGTAGTCCAATAAGCTATAAATCAACCGCGCACAAGAAATTACCAACTGGAAGAAAGGTCCATGCAGCAATCCTGGCCTCAATGTTAGCAACTATTTCATCCTTTAAGGTGAAACAAAGAACACCAAGTAAGCCTTCTGAGTTCAAAAGTCAGAGAATAAATAGAAAATATATGCACACATGGGAATGTATCTATCATGCAACGTACCAAAAGGAGAATAATGGGTATGGACCTCAGAGCATAGTAAGAAGGATCATTACTTGACAACTAAGCACAAACAGAAACTTCTCTATTTTCCGAAACAGATACATTGATACGAAGGTTTGATCAATAATCCCACTCACACATTTTTTATATGACGAACAACAAACTTGAGTTTATGTAAATTAGAAGAAGATGATCATCTTGACCATTTCCGCACACTAGATTCAATTGTCCACAGTGGAAAAACCATACTTAATAACCCGAAGAATGTTCGGCTTTTCAGTTATAATTCCACAACTTGGACAACACCAAAGGAAATTAACAATTGTACCGAACTAGAAGGTCCAGAACTACACGAAAGGACTACTATGAGTTGTTGAATCTACCACAAACAGTATACATAAATGTGTACATAGTAAGATGCACTACAAATTGTCAAACTCATCAACATCCTCTATTTCTAAGCTATGTCCGCAGACCTTCAAACGTATAATGGATAACATGAAGTGACAAAAAAATTGAATCACAACGCATTAGACTGATACCATTACGACATTAATGAAGTAAATCAAAATCATCGAACGAATTCAAACCATCCATTCAGGAAAGCAGAGGAATTGACAAACCTGAGCTTTCAGAAGGAACATGCCGGAGCTCGTCCGGACTTCACTCTCCATACTCTGGCCAGACTCGTTATCGGCCACCATAGACTTTTCTAGCTTATCCTTCGCCTACCTCGCGAAATTCACACAAACCAAACCAAATTATTACTGATTAAAGACTCTAATTAGTGAATTTCAGATGGACTAAAAACAAAATTCAATGAAAATATAGGGAAGAAAATCATTTACAATTTCAATTAGATGATCACATTCCTCCTCAGAAAGAAACCCCTTATGCAAAAACGCCCTGTAGATTGTTGATCACACGGGAATTTTAAAAAAAATTAATGAAACAATAATAAAAAGAGAAATTCAGCAGATATTATTGGAGATGCAATTGAGAAAAACAAACCTGGGACGCCATGAGAGCTGACTGACACGAGTCGGATCGAAGGTAGCAGATGAAGCTCCTCTTCTCAATCTGATCACCGATCCCTCGCTGAAAATTCACACAATTTCCAAACAAACAAAAAATTTAATTCCACAAAAATGTAGATAAAAAAATACGTAGAGAGAGAAAGAGACGGAGAAATACGTTTTCTTCTGCTCGAGCAATACTGGGATGCGAGTTCGAGAATGGGCGAGGTGAGGGAAAATGCAGAGGAAACAGAGAGAAAGTGCGAGAAAGCATCGAAGATCCATGAGAAAATCTAGGGCTTTGGTGAAGGTCTGTAAGAAATGTTACAGAATCGGAGGAGACGAAGAGGGAAGACGTTGGCCCTTCCTTGGGGTTTTATGGCGGTAAAAGTACTAAAACGGTGGGTTGGTTTGCAAATTAATTAATTTTCTTGCTAAAAGTTAATTAATTAATTCGATTTTTTAGCTTTTTATTCAGGTGTGACAAGTAAATGGATATGTTTTGGAATTGGATCCTCTCCGAGGCAAAGCCTCGGATTCTTCCTGATCGGACAATACGGATAATTAGATTTTGATTCAACGGTTACAAATAGGAAGGTCTCTTTAAAATTATAATAATTATATCCGTTAGATCAAAATCCAACGATCCGTGTCGGTTAGGAGGATCCCTCGGGGAGGATCCAATTCCATATGTTTTCTACGGTCAAAGCCCCAATTGTTATTTTTTGGAATGTTCCTTGAGTTTGAGGCTCGTAGGGTATACAAAATCCAAAAGGTCAGTCGAAAGAAAGAAAAACAAATACCAAGGGTTGGTGAGGTAGAGAAATGACAGAATAGATCGAAGAGGAAATGGATCGTCGGAAAATAAAAGGATGCGGTGGGATTTATAGAGTTAGTGTCCGAGTTCTGATTTGGGCCCGTGATATTTTTTTCAAAAAAGGAACGACGCCACGAATATGCGTTGGATTTTGGCTACCTTATATCGTTTCAGCTTCCAAAATAGTGTTTAAAGTTTCGTAGTAAATACTATACCTTTCGGTTTCCATCCGATTAATGTTTAATTAATGTTGTTTAATCCCTAGATTTCTTTTAGTTGTTCCAAGCAATTGTAATCTTTTATTTAAGTCATCATGATGTAACAAATGTAATCATTCAATCATCAATCAATATTAACCCTTTGGGATTTCTCTCAACTTTCTGGTGGATTGACTTTGTTCTTCAAGAAATTACGTTGGTAACCCTTTTGATTATTTTTTGTTGTGCTAGTTAGAGAAAAATTTCGATAGGGCTGTTTGATTGGGTAGCTATCACATTAAGTGGATTAGTGAGGTGTTGGATCAAACTCATGTTTTGCAGCAATGTTGCTTTCTCCTACTCGTCATGGGTCTAAAACTTATCATGTAAACTGAGTATAGATGGTGCGGTTTAGTGCCATCGGTTTTTCGAGTTAGTAGCTAGTTGATTCGTCAGGTCAGTTGTTACAATGATAAATTTTTTTGTTTTTGTGACTATTATTCTATTGTCTTCATCGACCAACATTTTTTGTAAATCATGAGTTAGGTGTAGTTACGCACTGTAACTAAATCGACTTCCCGTTCATCCCAAATTCTTAATTATACTTATAATAAAAAAAATGACCCACTTAGAACTCTCGATTCCGTTCGTTGTATAACTTCAAAGATCTAGGCTTGCATTGTGTAACACAATGTTAAATATTGGGCCTAGGAAGGTTAAATATTGGGCCTGAGATCTTGTGGGAATTTACATTTTGCTACTACCCAACCTCTTTATTATTGGGCCAGTTAATATTAACTGTTGACTACTATAATAAAGTTCACAAATTTTATTGTTTTGCACGAAAATATTATTACACTTAGCATATTGCACTGTGTTTCCATCATATTGAAAAATGTCTCATATTAACTGGGCAATTGGCCTTAGGTATTTTCAAAAAGGTTGTACTATCCACACATGCAATTTTACCTCTCACACATCCTTCTTAATTTTTGACCGTCGGATCTAAAGAATTGAAAAAAATCAATGAACAAAGATTAACAAAAGTGTGTAGGAGGTTAAAGGGAATGTGTGAATAGAATTATCCTTATCAAAATTAGAGAAAATTTTAATTGTGACGAGAATACGAGTGGTACATCACATGTTTTGTAAGTGGTGGAAAATTTTACTTTTTAAGTTATTAACTTTTTAATATATATATCTCACAATTTGTATAGTGACATGTGATGTACCACCTCGTGTACCAATCACATTGAAAAATCTCTCTCACAATTGACCTCTAGGACTAGGCGAAAGTACAAAGCAAAGGAATAACAAATACATTTAAACTAGTAAATGTATTTCAACTAATTACCATGCATAAGTTGTTATATGCATGTGATTATCTGCGATTAAATTTATGAGAAGGAACAAAAAAAAAACACACACACCAATTATGGCTAGCAGCCCATAATTTTCTTAGCTGTAGCCGCGCGCTTAGACTTTTCCGCCACGATGCCGTCGTTCCCCGCCAAAGCCCGGTACTTGTCCTTCCGCGTGAAGGTGGTGCACTCGTACGACAAGCTCGCCGCGATGTTCCTCTGTATGTAATTCGCCACGTCATGACTCGACTTCCCGGCACCACAAGTCATCTCGTAAGGCAGCTTGTTCAAAAACGTCACTTCGTACGCCGGGCTAGGGTTCATGAAGAAGTAGAACGGGTCCATCCCCTTCCATCCTCGAGCCGTCGTCCCGTGGAACATGCTCATCCGGTTTGACATGGCTACGGGGACGAGCTCGTCTGTCAGCTCAGCGAACAGGGCTGAAAACCGGAGCAAAAATGGTTCCCGGCACGTTGTTCCCTCGGGGCATATGACGAGGTCGCCTTGTTCCAAGAGCTCTTTAATCTGGTTCGCGTCCTTGACCCGGTCCCGGGTGAGCCGGACGGTCTTAATTGGCGAGATGAGCTCCGACAGGCGCGAGAGAGAGTAGGTCACGGCCGGAATGGGCCGGCCTAGAGCGGTCGAGAGAAAAATCGGGTCGAGGAGAGTGCGGTGGGAGCAAATGAAAAGAACTCCGGTTTGGCCTGTGGATTTCTTGGCGGGAGGTGGTGGGGTCCCTTTGATATACACCCGTACGCCCAACGCCCAAAAAGCGTAGTATACGACGTGCATAGGAAGCAGTGAGCCGGCTGCTACTCGCAAGCAAGCTAAAAGAAAACCGACCGGGATCCAAAGAATTATAAGCAAAGCCATGAGCGGCGATGGCTTCTGAGCCAGCCTTCCGTCGTGAAACACTATCGGTTTTGGCAACTTGTCGTGGCTCACCGCCTCGACTTCCGGCGTAGCAGGAACCACGTAGCTCTCTTTGCATCGGTTCATGAATGGGTAATCCGTTTTCCGATCACCGAGCCCGATATCTGGTGCGGACGAGGGCTCGTTGCCAAACGCTTTGTTAAGCGCGTTGGCCTTGGCTTCACCGACCAAAACTCCGGGATTGAGAACCCGCCCAGTGGCTCTGCCTCTGTAGGTGTCGATCTCAGTCCCCAGAACCAGGTCAGCACCCAAAAACTCCTTCAAAAACGGCTCCACCATGATTCTGGGGTTCGCGGTCAAAACGCAGCGTTTCCCACATGAAGAGAAGACTCTCCACGTCTCGGAGTGCAAGTCCGCTGAATAGAACTTGGGGAGTACCGCACGCGCCACGGATTCGATGTCGGAAACTCTCATGCCGGCGAAGGTGGCAAAAACCATGACACGAATGCCGGCTGACTCCGATACAAAGTAGTACAGCAGGCCAATGAGTGGAGACGCCAGTAGTAAAAAGAGAAGCCTTAGTATGCCGCCGACCTCGAACGCGACGAGGGCAAAGTAAGGGAATGAGCTCCGTCCTCTAAGCAAAGTGCCATCCATGTCCGCCATCACGGTATGTTTTTCGCGACCAATTGACGGGCAGCGGTCGATTGTCGAGAAGGTAGGAAGAGAACGTTCCTCTACAGTGGTGGCCATGGAGGGGAATGAATTTTTTGCCAATTAGACTACCTTGGCTATGGAAAAACTGTTTGTACTAACAATTTTTATGTTTAGTTAGTGTTAATTTGTTATTAGCACCTGACTAAGAGGGTTTGTATGTGGATATATATAGAGGGAGACAGAGAGAGCAATATGGTGGTTGCTTGAATGTTTTGGCTTATGTGATCAATGACAGTGTCGCCGAGAGTTCCGAAAACAAGTGAGAAATGGTGAAAACATCATATTGGATTCACCACCCATTTGTCTTGTGTGTGTTGTATTGTGTATGAGGCTTAATAATGAACGATGAGAGAGAAAGATGCTAATTATTGTATTAGTGCTTAATATTATGGAGACGTTTATGAATAGGTTTTTTTTAGTGTATCTGAAAAATTATAACATACAATGTACTATTTTGTGCTTTGAGCGCACATCGACAATGCTACATTACTTGGAATATGAGTCACATTACTCAAAATGTGAGTCAATTTACGTGTTGTAATGAGTTAAGGTATAATGTAAGTGAATCAATATATCATGCTAACGATGACAGTCATAAGAAATTTTTCTTCTAAACACCGAGTTTGTAAAGTCATATTATAATAAATATTAACGTGTTATAACATAATTAAACTGATTATATTGTATCGTAAACCTCAAAATGATTTCTTAATAAAAATATTGATCTATTAGCCATGCATGACTCTAATGACATGAACGTTGATCTCTATCATGCTTTAATGTTTTTAATGCGTTTTGGTGAAAGAAATTGAGAGCATCTTCGTGCGTGTCGCCGATGTCTGTCGTGTAGTGGCCTCGTATTTGTCCTTAATCAGATGATAATGGAAAGTTGTCCGCGGGGTCTTTGGTTTGCTCGGCCCACCGGTGGCCCAATAACCGTAATAATTCATGTGGCTTTTAAGACTGTCATTGATGACACGTAGCTGGAGGGGGTGAGGGGGAGGATGAAGATTATCCAGTAGATTTGAAACATGACCCAGTATGTCATGAATTCAGGCCCTTCTTGCAAAAGAATTTCTATTATTATTTTTTAAATAGAGACTAGGTGTGAGGTTTATTCCACATCAAATTTTTACAATCTGAATCATCTAGTTTGTAAGTCTTGATTAATAAATAATTCTTGCAACAATTCAATTCAATCTCAATGATACCCATGCACAACCTCTGGCCCGAGAAGGACTCTGAACTCGGCCCAACCAACACTAGGCCGAGAACATTATAAACTTGGCTCAAAACCATATTTTTGGGCTCAAACAATACGTTAATTTTTTTTAAACCCAATTAGATGTCTTAAATATTTCCGATTTGCCTAATATTTTGGAAGAATGATCTATGAGGTGCAACTTGAAAAATAGACGGTTCAGATCGTTAAAATTCAATATCATGTGGATCCCACAACTAATCCCCATTTTTATATAAAAAAAAAAATAGGGATCCCTTCCCTTAAAGGCTTCCTATATTATAAGGTCAGAAATAGACACTTACAAAGTTATTTCAACTTTTATGATGACATATAATGTATTGGGCTATGTTTTAATAGCATAGAAACTTCTCTCGGGAAGGAGGGAGTTGAAAAATGCTCGATGTAAAAGTTGTGGTGAAATATGATAATTTTTATGTCTCGTTTGATAACTATTTTGTTTTAAGTTTTTTTAGTTAAAAAAATAATAAAAACTCAAACCCAAATTCAAATTTTGAATTGTTTTTTGCTTTTTATTTTCTGAAAACTAAACCTAGTTAACCAATAATTTTTTATTTTTCAAAAGTGAAAACAAAAACTGAAAGTTAAATACTGTTTTCATTTTTTTTTATATATCTAGTGGAATTCCAACTTTGCCATTAAATAAATAAAGAATTTAAGAAAATTAAATTTAGAATTCCAACTTTGCCATTAAATGTTTAGTGGAATACCGTCGATCATTGATGCTCTCCTTCTTGTTTCTCTATTTGAATGTGGATCCAGTCAATTGGAGGCCGATTTGAAGTGGGATTGACGGGAGCATAGTGCGGAGCCATGTTCGACGTCGACGTTGGCATCGACGCCGCCGATATAGTATGATGATTCATATTCTTCTAAAGGTATGAGAAGAGGGAGGAAGAGAAAGAGAATAAAAAGACCACTCTCTATTTTCGAAGAGGGAGGAAGCCAAAGAGAATAAAAAGACCACTCTCTATTTTCTTTCTTTTCTTTATTTAGGGGCAAATTTGGGAGTTCGTTAGAGAAAATTGCTTAGTTGGATGTCGGGATAAAACAAATGGGTCCAAATAAAATTTCCATTTTCACAATTTAGGAAAAGTTTAATGAAAAAGTTTGGGTAGTGGAATCCACATACTTCTTTTTATCTTTTACACTTTCTTTATTAATTTGTGTCATTTGATCATTTTTAATGCATTTGGTCGGATAACCGAAAATTATAAGAAGCGTATAAATAACATCACCCTCAAGTATAATCCTAAAGAAAGGCTGGCTGCACAAGAAAAAGAAGCGCATGGAACCATTAAAAAAAAAGAAAAATTAATGAAATGTTCAAAAAAAATTTAGTTTTAGTAAAAATGATAAATAAAGATGTAATGAATAGTACTAAAAAAAGATAAAAATATAATTTTTTATTAAAATGAACAATACTAAAAGTGTTTTGTTAAAACTCTCTTAAAAAAAAAGCAGAATCAAAACACTCATAAATCAGATTATAAAAGAACAAAAGAGATCAAAGTGCTAAGGAGACAAAAGTTCATTTTCAAAAAGTGCATTTCCAGCCAAAGTTTCAGACATTTTTCATGTCAATTCCGGCTCCAACATATAGTGAAGTGATTGAAAAGACGACACCACTGATGGAGTATTCAATAGGGTTGCCACATCATGGCAGTACCGGTACGTGTGTGGCTGGCGCATTAAGAGCAGTTCCAGCGTGGAAACACCCCAAGCAAGACACTATGTTATCCACTTAATAAACAGTAACTGTTCTTAATAAATAGTAACCATCTTTTGCATTTCTACTGTTGCACTTCAATAGCTCTGGCAATAAGCAATAAAATATTAGCATTTTATTTATTTATAAAATAATACAAAATAATTTTATTTGTAATTTCGGATAAGATTTTTAATCGTTCTCGTTGCGCCACGTGTTATTATCCGAAAAGTTATAAAATAATACAAAATAATTTTATTTGTAATTTCATATAAGATTTTTAATCGTTCTCGTTGCGTCACGTGTCATAAAATTTAAAAAGACAATTATTGGTGATGGATTTCCGATAAAATTATTAACCAATCACGTCGTGTTTACGTGTCATAATTTTTTAGGATAGATTTCCATCAGATTTTCAACGAATGACAGCATGCCACGTGGCATTATCTACAACCTAATCATTTCTGAATCCTCCATATAATCTACCATCCATCCTCACAAATCTTACACCAATTTTCTCAAGATCTCTATCATTATTCATAGTTTCTGCTTCATTCTTCACGAAAATCTATATCATTATTCATAGTTTATGCTTTATTTTTACAATGTCTTCTTCTTTAAGGATGATGTGGGAAATCGATCAGCAAGAGAAAGAATTGTTTAACCAATCAGAAGGAATGTTTAATCTCCAGGTGTGGTTTCTGCTTCATTCTTCACGAAAATCTATATCATTATTCATAGTTTATGCTTCATTTTTACAATTTCTTCTTCTTTAAGGATGATGTGGGAACTCGATCAGCAAGAGGAAGAATTGTTTAACCAATCAGAAGAAATGTTCAATCTCTAGGTGGCCCAAAATGAGAGGGAAGAGGACGAGGAGCATAGAATGAGAGATGATAACGCAACATCTTCAAGAAGCGTCCAATTCGTATCTGCATCAGTAGTCATTTGTTGAAAAAAAAAAGTGGATTGAAACTTTGAGAGAAAGATAAGAATGTGGTTGAAAGTAGTTGAGAAAATATGAAATAATGGTGTAAGGTAGATGATAATGAGAAGGTATTTATAGAAAAGTAAAAACAATTTTTTTTTTTAAATTTCAATTTTTTTTCTTCAGATTTTTATTAATTTTTAAATTTTGTTATTCAACTAATTAATCTCTGTTGTTGGATTAAAAAAATTGAATTCCAACACTCCAGATTGTGCCACGTGGCACAACGGTAACATTTTTGAAATTAAAACTATTTTTTTATTTATAAAGGAGAATAATATCAACCGTTGATCTTAGATCCAACGGTTGATATTAAATAAGATTTTTTTCATTTTTTCACCGTTGCAAATCTGACGGTCTACATTTTCTTGCCATTGAGATCCAACGGACCATAGGAAGCCACGTGGCTTCCCAACGGAAACAATTTGAAATTGCGTTGCGGGCCCCATGCGCTGAAAACATGTAGGGTGACACGCCCCCACGCGTGGGTGCAGTGCAAGCGCCTAACAGAAAAAAATAAAAAAAGGGGTTGACGTTAACCTTACGTCAGATAGCCTTCGGTTTCACGGGCTGGCAATTCGTGACAGGCCTGGTGCTTGAGCATGCCCTGTCCCTCGGGCTCCCACACGTTGGAGTCAATAGGCCGGGCTCTCGGGCCCTGTTTGCTGGCCTGTCCCCTGAGCTCCAGCCAACGCTGGAAGTGCTCTAAGGTAGTGCGTACAATATGTTAGGGTTTGTGAGTTTTAATACATGGGACGGTTGGTTTTATGTGAGAGCGAACGAGGCAAATTGTTGTGCCCGATGTTTGTGTAGGGCTGCCTCATTAAGGCAGTTCGTACAACATGTAGGGTTCAAGAATAATTGGTGAGTTAAAATACATGAAGAATGCTGGTTTTATGAACAATGTTTGACCACTCAAGGATAAGTAAGAATTTATACACAAAACTCTTCATGTTAGAATCACAGAGCTTCATGCATATATTGAGAACCTTTCATATATGAATCACTTAGAAAATATCATCTCAGTAAAAAATGAATTAAAAGTAATATTGTTTAGTCAATTTATTGTACAGCAAAACTACACAACCAACCGTAATTTTAATTGACTTTTGCAGAGGTGATTTTTATAGAGTGATTTGTAACATAAATGGTTCCGATCATAAACACAAAGTTTTATAAATCGGCAACGAACGGTTTTGAGTAGGAACTCCTACGCATTCTTTAAGTAACCAAATCTTGTTCCTAGTTTTATGTCAGGACGAATGAAGTAAATAGTATGTGCCCGATGTTTTTCTCCACAACCTCACACCAATAGAGGGAGAGAGACTTAAGTAACCATCTACAAATTGGATGTTATAGTATTCCAAACAAATCGCAAAGGGTAGCGTTTTTAAATTTTTCATATGCCAACGCGTGATTAGTGTCTTGCCCCGCCATTGTGACGTCCTTAGAGCAACTCCACCCTTGGAGCCCTACCCCCAGGCAATCCACTATTCAATCCACCATGTGAACAGTAACTGCCCTAATGAACAGTAACTGCCTTTTGCATCTCCATTGTTGCACTTGAATAGCCCTGGCAATAGGCAATAAAATATTATTATTATTATTGTTTTTTACAAAATAATACTAAATAAGTTTATTTGTAATTTCGGATAAGATATTTTAAATCGTTCTCGTTGCGCCACGTGTCATTTACCCAAAACGACTATTATTGGTCATAAATTTCGATAAAATTTTTATCCAATGAGAAGGTATTTATAGAAAAGTAGAAACATTTTTTTTTAAATTTTCAGAATTTTTTTTCGGATTTTTTACAATTTTTAAATTTTTTTATTCAAATAATTAATCTCTGTCGTTGGATTTAAAAAAATTAAATTCTAACACTCCAGATTGTGCCACATGTCACAACGGTAACTTTTCTTAATTTTAAACTTTTTTTTTTAATTTATAAAGCATATTAATATAAACCGTTGATCTCAGATCGAACGGTTGATATTAAATCAATTTTTTTTAATTACCGTTTCAAATCGAACAGCTCATATTAAAGAGCCGTTGAGATCGAACGGATCGTGGGAAGCCACGTGGCTTCCCAACGATCACCTGCTAAAACTAGCGTGCGAGCCCCGTGCCCTATAAAGTTGTCGGCTGACACGCCCCTACTTGTGAGTGAGGAGCACGCGCCTGACACAAAAAAAATAAAAAAATACCGACGCCAGGCCTGGCGTTAGCCTGACGTCACACCCACCTCGGGCTGTAGGGCTGGCAATCCTCCACGGACCTGGCCCTCGGGCTCCCACCTTCACTCGGGCTGCCCAACGCTGGAGCCTTATCCACCGGCCCTCGGGCCCTTTCTCTTCGCCTGTCCCTCGAGCAACCACCAAGGGCGGAGTTGCTCTTAAGGGTAAAGAAACTCCCATGCCAAGTGACAAAGGAAAGCTAGCTAGGTTCCATTTTACACCCCCACTATGCAATGAGTTGAATGAAGGAATTATGTGAAGATAATATGTCATTGAGAACATGAACAACTCACAAGAATGCTAAAATCCTTTCTCTCGCGCCATCAAAATTCATCAGAAAAATTCAAAATCTAAGTATGGACCTGACGATCGATTCGATTCGGTAGCTCCCTTCTTGTTCTGAGGCACTGCAGACTTGAATGTGTGACTTAGAGTAGCAAGATCAAACGGTTTTGGAATCTCCGGCGGGCGCGTGCTGCGAATGAGAGCCCAATTTACGCTTGCAAAGAAGGGGTGCTGTTTAATTTCTGTGGCACCACGTTTAAATCCCAGTCTCTTTTGAGGGTTCTTCACAAGTAAGCCCCGGATCAAATCCTTTGCGGCGAAACTGACGTTGAATCCATCCTTAAACTGAAGAGAATGACCAACCACATTGAACAACGTCTCCCGGTTTCCATTCCCTTTGAATGGCGTCCTCCCATGCAGCAGCTCATACAAGAAGATACCGAAAGTCCACCAATCAACTGCGCTACCATGACCGTCACCTCTGATTATTTCGGGAGCTAAATACTCATGTGTCCCGACGAATGACATAGAGCGGGCACTCGTTGGCTCAGCAATAAGTACAGGCAACGAATCCGAATTTCCAAAACCTGTTCTTTCGGCTTTCTCCTTGGTTGATTTGGATCTAAGAAACCGAGGCTTAAAGCAAGAGGGTTGCAAACAAGCAGGTTGAACACAAACCGGTAATTTGCACGACGGATCAATGCATGCAGGCTGAATGCAGTAAGTAGATATTCTACAAGATGGATCGTTGCCGGACTGAACGAGAGTAGGACTCACATAACATCTCAACGATAAATCGAAATCGGAAAGCATGATATGGCCGTCCTCCCTCACTAGCACGTTTTCTGGTTTTAAGTCTCTGTACACCACTCCCATCATGTGGAGATACTCTAGGGCAAGAAGCACTTCTGAAGCATAGAACCTGCAAAACAAAATGCAATTTGATCATAAATCACTATGAATGTAACCAATACTCACTGACATGTAAGAATGTTAAAACACATGACATATATTGCGTTATAACTGTGAGATACTGCCACAGTGCAGTACGCGATGTAGGTAAGTCCATCCCCACGAGAGAGAACAGGAAGGGGGAGGATTTAACGGAATCATAATGTTGGTGGCCACACGGCTATCAAGCCAACGGTTTTGGGATCTAGGTCCAACCACATATAAGAGTGTTGTGGCTACAAACATAACAAGATGGTTGAAAACTGAAGTGGTGAGTTTTGAAAAATATTTATACTAAAAACGCTTTCAATTATTTTAATGTATTTTCAAAGTCCTTAAATAGGGAATATGATCCTTTCCGAATTCTCATTATGAAAAATCGGAGGATTAATCAATTGTGTCCGTTCATCATCTATCTATCGTGTCTTAAATAGTTATCAGTGTGGATACAATATACTGACGAAAGAACTACGACGTCCTTATTCTTTAATAATATCACGCAGAGAAAATACAAGGACAAAAGGGTAATATCAAGACAAATCGACGCTAACCTCGCTGCTTGTTCAGTAAAATGCTTCCCGGGCTGGCGCTGCCGCAGCGTATGAAGATCGCCGCCGCAGCAAAACTCCATTAACAAGCAAGAAAACTTATCGGTCTCGAAATTCGAATAGAGGGTCGGAAGAAACGGATGGTCCAGCAACCCCAATATGTCCCTCTCCGTCTGAGCTCTGATCAGCTTCTTCCTCCCCGCCAACATTCCTTTGTCCATTACTTTCATGGCGAAAAAGCAACCCATCCCTCTCAGCTCCGCCAAGTAGACGCTTCCGATGTCGCCGCAGCCGAGCTTCTTCAGCAGCCGGAAATGGCCGAGACCCAAGTCTCCGTCTCTGGAATTCACTGATTGTATCGCGTCCCACCGCGCGTCGTTGCCTTTGTGCGGCTTCGAAGGGCAGAAGCTCCTGCAGCTGCCCTCGTTCGGATCGGACAGGCTGGAATTACCCAAGTGACTTAAACTGCTTTTGTCACTTTCGTCTTCGCAATCAGCATTCTCGGCGTTCTTGTGTACTTCTAGAGTTCCATTGCTGCTGACCTTGGTGCTATCGGACCCAGAAACGATGCTGCTACACATGCTAATGCTGAAGCTGTTTTGGAAGCTGAGATCTTGGAGGTTGCTGGTGACGGATTCGCCGTCCTGGGATTCGCCGGAAGGGGGCGTCTTGTCCATGGTTGAGAGGTTGCGGATGAGGTGTTCGATGAATGTCAGAGACAAAAAATGCGATAAGAAATGGGGGTTGGTGGTGGGATGGGGTTGGATGGGGGTGTGAACGAGGTGGTCAAAGGGAGGACGAGAGAGACGCGGGCGCGAAGAAGGGAGCTGAGCGTAGGGACCCAAAAGAGAGTGTACAAAAACGGTGTTCAAATTTGAAATGAGACTGAGTGTGGGAAGAACGGGGTGAGAGAACCAATGTCCATTTTCTTACTCTCTGTCCCAGAAAATGTTACAGCTTGGAGACAAAACACAACACAGAGAGATAGAGAGAGAGAGAGAGAGAGAGGGAGGATGAGAGAGAAAGGAACAGAGAATCCCTGTTCACGAGGACGACAAAAGCCTTTCAGATTTTTCTAATGAAATCGAAAGTGCAAAAACATATTTTACACCTCCTCAGCCAATACCGTGGTGGCCTTCCCTCTGGTTTGAGTGTTTGGTGCAATGTGATTCTCAATTTTGGGTTGGTGGAAGGTCCGTGATATATCGTCACAGCGACATTTTGGTGTATATAAGTTTGTGAGTATGAACAGTTTCAATGTACTGCATCCAGACTTGAGTAGATGGTATTTGCTGAGATGGTGAATAGCAAATTTGCAAAGTGAAATTGATGCAGGGGATGCAGTGTGCATACCATTGGATATTCTTGACAGCTGAATGTGGCAGGTGAAGGAGAAGGTAAGGTAATCCACTCTGGACAATAATGTCATTTTCCATGTATGTGAATAGATTTTACTAAAAAGAGGCAATTTTTTATTTTTTGAATTTCTGAAACATATTTTGCAGAGACCAGAACAAGAAGGGAACTCATTTATTATTTTGTTATAAAATGGGCAACAAATATCACTATTGTTATAACAAATATTATCTGGATTTTGGAAAGAAAACAATGCACAAAAGCTGAGAGGGTCTGGTCAGAATCCTGGGTTGAATTTCTTGATTACCACATTAATTGCATTGATGATTATCCGAGAGTTTTTGAGAAATGCTAAGGAGACTCTCTATAAACTTTTTATCACCTCACAATTTAACTTTAATTCTTATGTAAATATTAGTTCATAGAGAGTCACTTTTGAGTGAGTCTCCTTAATATTTCGTTTATCATATTACACAAATCTTTCATCATCATTGACCCGTTGGCAAATTGTTGTAAAGCTTTTGCCTTTCTGCTTTCTGAGAGAAATTTAGGTGCAACCAATTGTATATCCTCCCTTATCAATCTCGCTCCTCACGTGACACATGAGATGTATAACATGAACGAGTTTATACTCCGTTAAGGTTTTGCACACAAAATGAGAGAAACTTAGGTATAACTGAACTTATATCCTCTTATGTTTAGCATCATTTTAGTATCTCTCCCTTCACATAATATATCACATGAGGAGAGAAATAGACACATTATCATATATAATCGATTGCACATAATATTTTAACGTATAAAAGAGTAACCTTAAAGTTGGGAATTGAGGGTCACATCACTCTTTTTTCTGCTAAGTCGGCACCGCTGATAATTACTGCCCATCTTATTTTTTCCATGTGGCCTATTAGTGGTGATTTTTGTGTGCAAAAGTAATTAGACATTGTTTTGCTTCTCATGATTTGTCAACGGAGGGTCCAAATGGCAGTTTAAGAATGTTGCTTAAAGGGGCAACATAACTATAATCCTGTCTTAATTATCTCCGAAGATTGTCCACTTCAAACCTTGAAGTGCAATCCAAGAAGAAGCACCATTTAACTTTACCTATAAATGTTGCTGCTAAACAAACATTGTATTCCACCTGAATGTACCATGAAGTTGCCTGACTCTGTTGCCGCTTTCTTTCTGCTCCTACTGTGGACTTTCATGTTATTTGGTAATTTCGTTGAAACATAAAAATTGGGAGTACAGGGGAGAAAACGTGAATGCGAAAATCACTTTCCGCTTTTAGAGTAGACTCATATTTTTCAGTGTCAAATATGTTCTTAATCTTATATGTATGATAGCATTGAATCAATATATTCTATTGCAGGACAGGGAATGGCACATACAGTTACATTTTACATACAGAATAAGTGCCCCTTCCCCATATGGCCAGCGACTGCCCCCAACACCGGAGAGCCTGTGATAGCTGATGGCGGCTTCTTCCTCCCCGCCGGACATACTCAGCCCATTACTGCCCCGTGGTCATGGAGCGGTCGGATTTGGGCCCGAACAGGATGCGACTTTGTCTCCAACTGCAAGCCTGCTTGCGAAACAGGAGATTGTGGCGGACGATTAGCATGCAATGGACTAATAGGCAATCCACCGGTGACACTAGTGGAAGTTTCGCTTCAAGACGACAAAGGCAAGCCAAATTTCTACGCTGTGAGCGTGGTTGATGGATATAATCTTCCGGTTGCAATCTTATCAAGGCCGGCGGCATCCAATTGCGCTGTCAGAGGGTGTTTGAAAGATTTGAAAACTTGTTGCCCCGATGAGCTGAAGGTTTTAAACGACGAAGGGGAAGTTGTGGCGTGCAAAAGTGCTTGTTTGGCGTTTGATACGGACTCGTTTTGTTGCCGGAATAAGTATGGAACCCCGGAAAAATGCAAGCCGAGTGTGTACTCGAAGATATTCAAAGATGCTTGCCCTTCGTATTACAGCTATGCTTATGATTCACCACCTCCATTGGTGACTTGCAAGGCAAGCGAGTATGTGATCACATTTTGTCCTGCAGGGTGGGGTGCTGCTGGGTATACCTCTTTGTAGCTAGTTTGCCCTTCATTTGTGGTAATCCAGTTTTATATTTGATTAAGAGTATTTTCATTGTAATAAGTATCAAGTTTTATTTGCTTTTGGTTCTTATGGTTATGTTTATATGTTACGTTTATTTTCGTTGGATCCTCAATTTCTCCGAATTTTAAAAGGGAAAGACCTAGGAGTAGTCAGACAATTGTTCGAACTGTTCAACCCGATCAGACCAGACCAAACCAAACCAAACGAATTTGAGCAATTTGGTTTGAATTTTATGTTAAAGCAATGAAATCTTATATGAACAGAACCAAACTAAGCGGTTTGGTTCCTATCGAATTTGACTCTTTGAAACTCACCTAAACATAACTTAATTGTCAATATTACTTTTATTATTTTGTTAACACTTGCATTGAGTTAGTGTCGAAATTCTCCCTTGCAATTTTTTTTTTCACAAGCTTAATCACTTAAATCTCAACCGTTCACACGTAAAAAAAAGTGAATAAGCAAAATTTTGAGTCAGTATGTGATTTGAATGTTTAACCGAACCAAACGGAATCGTCCCTGGCCCACCTGTAGGTCATACTAGCCCAAAAGATCTGTTTTTGGGATTCATTTGTGTACTAGTATAGAGATGGGCCTTTGCAGTATGAATACGTAGTAAGTGAATACAAGGCCCATTTATGTCTGAAAGCCCATATCAAAATCCAGGACCTTCGCATTAGGGTTTTAACACCTCCGCCGTTACACTATAAATATGCTCTCCTAGAGCTCCAAACCATCTTCTTCTTCCTCCTCCTGTCGCTCTAGGGTTTCTCGTCAACTGCGCAGAAACACACACTCTCCGCTGCCCGCTCCCCTTCCGCCGCCCCTCCGCCTCCGCCGCCCCTCCCTCTTCATGTATGATTTATTTAGTTTGTTTTACTTCAATTTTAGTTTTGTGATGTGGAAATTGCGAATCAGGTGATGAAGAAAATACTGCAACAATATGATGGATACGCTCCATTTTCCGTGATTCGTAGTATTTAAGTCTCTGATGATTTCTTCCACTCTTCCTATTTTTTGTTGATTTTTTTTTGTTTCATGAATTTCTCAAAAAAAAAAAACCAATTTAATTGGAAATATTAGGGTTTAAAGTGTGATATGATGAGGAACTTATTGGTCCGTGTTTCTGATTTAACCGTGACCGACAACCCTTAACCATCTCTGATCGCTCTTCCAATTTTTACCAATTTCAAATTTTCGTTTAAACTATTTAGTTTTTTTTTTTTTTAAATTCTGTTCGAATTTTGTGTTGATCTTGCTCTGTGATTACGTGCCTGGAATTGGCAATATACGCTATTCCGATTCAGAACATGAATGGATAACTCTTAAGAGAAATTATGAGAGCAATTAGTTTCTAATTGTTGCTTAATTTTTGTTTTCGGGTTTAATATTTATTTATTTTTACAATATTCTGCTGTGATGATTTCTGAATTAATTCACATGTCAGACTTCAGAGGTTTTGTAAAAAAATCAATGAGAATGAAAATTCAAATTATCTGAGCAGAATTATTATTTTTATTTATATTATGATTATTTTTTTGAATTATAATTTTTGTCTGAATGTAAAAAAATGGATATCGATGATGACAAAATGTAAGGCTTGTTTCTCAAGAACATTCGCAGTGGCCGCCTAAGAGCTTTCGCCTTTCGCCGGGCTTGAGAGCTTATGCTGCTTTTTTCCTTCCTTGGATGTCTGAGATTGTTTTCCTTCACATTTGTTCTGCGCAGTTACTGCTCAGTTACAAGAAAACCTACTCCGAGGCAAACAACCGAATAAACTATTAGAAAAGAGTAGTGCGAGGAGTTCACAACCTAACCACGACGTCGCATCTAATGCTAGAGCGTCCCTCCTTGCATTAACATAATCACTAAGGGTGGGTAATGGATGGCCATTATTACACAGAACATGGACAAATGAGAAGATGGGGTTAGTCGACCCAAACACGATCACATACTTAACCATTAATTAGGCAAGAAACCTAAATCCCAAAGAGATTGCAAGGAAAACACATCCACTCCAAGTAGTCACTAGTTTTTATCACCGTTTGATTATATAGCTCAACGTACGGTGATTAATTTAATATCTAATTTAATAAAACAATAATGTTTGGTTGATGAGTAGGAACTTGAAATCAAAACTTATTGTGTTTGAATCGCATAATCGTTCATATTATAAATTATATTGTAAAGATCATCTTTGTAAAAAAATTAATTAAAATTAAGGTTTTGTTAATTTATTTTAGTAAATACAGACGGTTTGAAGCTGCTAGGGTTAGTTTCAATGTTTTTTTTAGGAAAATTAATGAAAAAGGTTTGAAAAGAAACTTACTCAAAACTTATTGTGTTTGAATTGCACAATCGTTTATATTATAAATCATATTGTAAAGATCATCTTTGTAAAAAAATGAAATAAAATTAAGGTTATTTTGTTAATCTATTTTAGTAAATACACAGACGGTTTGAAGCTGCTAGGGTTAGTTTCAATGTTTTTTTTAGAAAAATTAATGAAAAGGGTTTGAAACTTTGAGTTTTAACGATAAGGACAAAATAAAGGGTAAATTGAATAGTACTACCGGAATTGACTTTTTAGTGTAAAAATATGATTTTTCGTTAAAGTAAACAGTATTAAAACTCCTTTGTTTTTTGTTTTGGGCTCAAAATTTTGTTTCAGGCTCTTTAATTGCTTTGAAGGTCTTTTTGTTTGTGTGTATGTATGTGGCCTTTTTCTAGTGTAATTGTTGTGTTCTAATAAAGCAACTTTTCACTAAAAAAAAAAGAAAAACTAATGAAAAAGATTTGAAAATTTTAAGTTTTAACGATAAGGACAAAATAAAGGGTAAGGTGAATGATATTAGAATTAACTTTTTAGTGTAAAAATATAATTTTTATTAAAATAAACAGTTAAAGAATTTTTTTGTTAAAATTCTCAAAAAAAAAAAAAGGATGGGATGAGTATTTTTTTTTGCTTAAGAAACTGTTGACCCTAGAAACTACAAAACCTACGTGGCGCGCAGGCCGAGTAATCTATAAGCTAACTACGTCCGTCGGTGATTGCGGGGCGTGCCAACTCGTCGGCCGAGCTCGGCCGAGGAGTAAATTTTTTGATGTTGCGTTGGGCGCGCGACTAACTTCTGCGTCTTGCGATTGCGGCCGAGAAAGGAACACGTCTCGGCCTCTTGGGCTCTCGAACCTGAAGATAAGGTTACTATTTTTACGAAGTCCAATATCAAATTCGGCTTTCAACGTGCCGAATGTAATCACTTGTAACACCTCACTTCGCCGAGAAGGCTGATGAGATGACCTCGACCAATAAGGATTCAGAAATCCTTCTCGACCGAGACTTGGATAGGTAATCAACCGTCCTCGCCGCAGTGCTGTTGATGCCAACGGAAGATGCTGTGAGATCGGCTGATTCTACGGTGATACCGTCCTCGCCGCCAGTGCTGTTGATGCCAACGGAAAGATGCTGTGAGATCGAGGCTATTCTACGTGATAGCTATCTCGCCGACTTTAAGATATCACCGGTTGCTTCCACAGTGCTGTTGATGCCAACGGAAGATGTGTCAGCGAAAAGAGAAAATAAAAAATCTCAGTTGTTGAGAGAATTTGCGCAGGGCAGTTGTGTGTTGAATTGGAGGTCCTCTTTCCGTTGTTCGTGACTCTGTATTTATAATGGCTGATGTACTTGCTTGGCACGACTAGATAGAGTTGTAAAGTCCAACTGCAACTTAAACTTGTGAAAAGAAATTTGATCCATATCAGAGGGCTATCCTTCAACTGCCGTGCCCTCTCAAACAAATCAAAAGCATGTCAAGGCTTATCACATCATCTGACCAAATAGTGATAACTACTATTTATATTATATATATTATATATATATATATATATATATATATATATATATATAAAATATACATATATATAATATATATATATATATATTTTTGCAGCAAGCATAGCATATATATATATTGCGGGATATATTTTGGGAGATTCACGGCATACATGCCATTAATTTACTTCATCTGACAACACCCCCTTAGGTCTCCTATCTCATCCTCACCTCATCCATAATAGCCATCACCATTCTGATAAGACGAATTTTAAATTCATTTTACTTCCAAGTGCTGTCAGACATCAATTCGAATTCTACTGCTTATTTCGGGATATGAATCGCACTCTATTTAGCTGGTTTAAAAAGATACCAAGATAATTCATATTAAAAGATAATTATAATATTATCTTTTAATAATCAAATTATTTCCACTGTCTCATCTGCCAGTCGAGAATCATGTCCACTCAACGGCCTCGATCGCTTGGGCCGATGATGTAAAATCGGGTCCAAACAGAAACATATAGCAGATTTTGACTGTTTGACTTGGAATATACGAAAATCTCTCTCCTCTGTCTTTTGGGACATGGGATAGCTAGCTTAGCTAAAATATGTAGCATCGAAGAATCGATTGCACTGCTCGTGACGACTCGACGGTGTTGCTTGCGACAATCCAAACGACGGTTCTCGCGACGAGACATGGAGGCTGAAAAGCGGTCGCTGAAACGAAGAAGAGCGTCAGTTGAAAAGAAGATGATGAACAAAAACAAATTGAAGAAACAGATTGCTGCCGACAGAAAAAATTGCACAAGAAGAGAAGAAATGGAGTGGAAGAACGGAGAGTTGGATAGGGACTTGTAACTTGTGTGTATGGTTGGGTTACTGTTGACCCTAAAAACTACCAAGCCTACATGGCACGCAGGCCGAGTAATCTATAAGCTAACTGCGTACTTCGGTGAATGCAGGCGTGCCAACTCGTCGGCCAAGCTCGGCCGGGGAGTAAATTTGTTGATGTTGCGTTGGGTGCGCGGCTGACTTCTGCGTCTTGCGATTGCGACCAAGGAAGGAACACGTCTCGGCCTCTTGGGTTCTTGAAACCTGAAGACAAGGCTACTATTCTTACGAAGTTCACGAATTGTCGCCGTCGGATTCGGCCACAGTGATGGTATTCGTCAGAGTAAACTCTCGCCGAATCGACACCAAAGTGTAAGGGCACAAATACTCAAAGCAGATATGAGTCTTAATAATGAACGTGGTTCGGCCGTCTGAATGCCGAACTCTAAATCCCACTTGGGAGTATCCGATCATACAAGAACTCGGCGTGCAATGCACCGAGCCTAATAAATTGTAACACCTCACCTCGCCGAGAAGGCTAATGAGATGACCTCGACCAAAAAGGATTTAGAAATCCTTCTCGACAGAGACTTTGATAGGTAACCAACCGTCCTCGCTGCAGTGCTGTTGATGCCAACGGAAGATGCTGCGAGACCGGCTGATTCTACGGCGACAGAGCTATCTATGCCGACTGAAGATATCACCGGTTCCTTTCAAAGTGCTGTTGATGCCAACGGAAGATGTGTCAGCGAAAAGAGAAAATAAAAAATCTCAAGTTGTTGAGAGAGTTTGCGCATGGCAGTTGTGTGTTGAATTGAATGGGGCTTGAACGATGCGTAACCTCTTCTATTTATAGCACCGGATACCTTCAAGGGTGAATTAAAAACCTACCCGGATTAGGACTTCTTCTCCTAATCAAACTCTAACTCGACCAGTCCTATTTTCACTATAATTTTGAACCCAGTCCTTTATCGAGATGGATTCACTTCCGGGTTATTAATCTCGCCGAGACTCCTTATTGCGCCAGGATTCGACTCGTCTTGCAGCATGACTTAATCGACCCAAGTTTGGAAGCCCACGACCTAAACGATCCATGATAATCTCGTCGTAAGGCCTTCTGGGCCGAGAATGATTCTATACTTGGTCCAAACTAATATTTTGGGCCCAAACAGTTACGTAATCCATCCTAGTTTCCTTACTTTGGATTTGTAGCCAATCCGGTTCACATTACAATTTTTCACATCAAACATTGGTTGAGTTACCAGTCTAAATTAGTTGGAAACAACCCATCTCATCAAGCTCACCAAATAGGGTCTTGGTCCTTTTAGGAAAAAAAATGAAAGTAAGATTGTAAATAAAAAAGTTATATTAATTGGTATTATTCATATCTTTAATGAGAAAAAGCATCTTTTTTGGAAGTAAGTATAAAGCTGTTTATGCTTTCTGCTGTTTTGAACACGATTTTTATCTTTGTTTACCAAACTTTTTTTAATAAATTTCTTTAAAATAAAACTGTTATCCCAAACCACCTCCTTAATATCATCTAGTGTACACCCAATTGTTTGTTTTTGTCAAACAACTTATTTCATTAAAAATAACGCTAATACAAAATGAGAAAACTCCAAAGCAATTTCCAAAACTAAACTACAAATCTATCCAAATATAAAAAGAAAGTTCAAA